AAGGTACACACTTTGGACCACTTCAAAGTTAAGTTCATTTCATTCCAATATTGTTAATGTGTTGAACCATCCCTTCTGATGAGAAATATACCCTCAGGTTTCATCCCTACACCTACAGTGGCGCAGAAACTATTTTATTGACAAATGTACCAAAATGCTTTTAGGGAGATAAAAGCTCCCTATAAAGGTAATGTAAACAGAAAGGTGTAAAAGTGTGTTTTTATTGTTGTTCACGACGTCTCTGAGACATTGTGTACCTCCGATTTTGGCGATACTTCGAGTTTTCTAGAAGTCGCTCGGATAGTCGATGGGAGAGAGGCTGGGAAGTACGACGCTCCAGCCGTTCGACGTCATTATTGGCAGTCTTTGGCGCTGAAGTTGGTCCTACGATAATCTAGAGCAAAAATCCGACGGTGAAGGCAATGTTCTTGTAATAGTCGTGTAATAGACGCGTAATGGTGACGTAATAGAAGTAATAGAGTTGTAATAGAGGAAGTAGAGAGGTAATGGACGTAATAGAGAGGTAATACATAGGTAATAGAGGTAATAGGGAGTAGACGGGCCACGATTTTGGAGAGTGGATAACCCCTCGGTGCGGTCCCGGTCCGAGTCCAGTGGGACCGGACCCGCACCGCAAACGTCCGGTCCCAATGTGCGGGTCAAAAGTGGGACCGCATTACAGTTGGGTGTCGTCCCCCTTTTTAAAAAAAGCTCGAATGTTTTTCCGCGCCCAAGCTTTTTGGATTCTTAATCGAATATAAAGATTTACGTGTCTCGGCGATTTCCCGATTTCTCAAAATTGATGGATGCGCAACGGCCTTGTGACGGGTTTGGTCAGATACTGTAACTTTATTAAAAATCGGGCAATTTTCGTCGTTTAAAGCTCTATTTGCTTCTTTTGATGAGTATTTTTCAGAATGCAACAGGGGCAACTGCCTCGCCTCGGGGTGGCAGAACAGGCGACAAAAGGGCTGGAACGGTCCAAACACGCCCCCAAACCCGTTTTCACCCTCATTTCCATGCAATACGTGCCCCCGGCATAGCAAACAAAAAGTCTCTTGCGCTAATATTTCTTAAAACATGCCCACTGAGTACGCCAGCGTGTAATGCCGGCATGCCTAACACACAGGGGCAGCCGAAATACTCTCCACTACGCTCCGCCGGCAACCGTTCGGCAGGGGCCGGGCCTGCTTGGCCTGCCGGCGGCGATGGTCGGGTCTGCGGCCTGACCATTTTCGTCACGCGATTTGCTAAAGATGAACAGTATCAAATGATGTAACGAGCCTTCAGCCCTCTAAAACCCGTCGTCTTTAAAATTTGCCTCGTAGACACGAGAAAGGGATGTAACGGTTGAAGCAACGCGACCACCCTTCTGCTTAGAAAACGCTTTTTTGGAGGGGGGGAGGAGTTTCTTTTTTTTGCGGTTTTTAGGCCCTTTTCTACATCTTATTGTTCACTACACGAATTCTTAGCTTATTTTCGTCTAAAAAGACCCTCCAGCGCCTAAACGGTTAAAGATAGAGCCAAACGGACAAAATTTTCTGCCCAAGGGCTCTTCTCCAACGC